GTAACTTGACGCGCAAATGCACAAATTCAGTCGGCAGTCTGGCTAAACATTCCGACTAAACCCTTATGGTACAGTACACTATCTGGCAAGACCACTTACCCCGACTCCTTCCTTATAGAGCTCTCGAATCGGTACCAAATTCAGCCCGCAAACATTCTCTTCACTCTCAAACGCAATTCCAATAAATTTCTCTGTTACATTTCTCCCGAAAGTATACAATCCAACAAAATAGAATCTGTCGATGATGTCATAGTACAAATAAAGATTACTAGCATATCCACATCGAGCCGCTACCGATGAATTCTGAGTTAATAAGCAAACATTTGTGGTCTCCAGAATATCCACGTCGTCAGGATTGGGGTTTTCTGGATCCAAAAAGTATCCTTGCTCACCACCGGATGATGGAGCAGTGACAATTTTCACGGGTTCCACGTAGAATTCATGGGGAGAAGAGAAAGGGAGTGATGTGGTAGATTCAGATGTTGTGGAAAGAAGTCCTTCAGGAATAGTAATAACTATCTGACCATCTGGAGCATCTTCACAATCGATAGTGTATCCTATGACGTTCCCAGTTGGCTTGAATCCAGAAGACGTATCGTAGTCGTCTCCAGCATAAACCGTGGATCCTACACCATCCTTATAAAACTCTCGGATCGGTTTTAATGGAATTCCACATTTGTTATCCTGACTTCTGAATACGTATCCAAGGTAAGAATAGATGAACGTGTCGACAGATCCTTCGACAGAATCAATGAATCCGATGTAGACATGAGTTTTGTCAAAGAATTGAAGGACTCGATCGACGTCTCCACACTTTGAGAGCTCTTTTGAAGCGTTACCAGTTAAAAGACAAACATTTGTGGGTTCAATTGGAGATGCACTGATTGGTGGGGTCCATGGAAGATTGATGGATCCAACTCCTTGAGTTCCATTTGTGGAGTTTTTGAGAATTGTCCAAATTGGATTGGTTTTGAAAATGTAATGATTTGGACCAAGAGTTGTTGGGATTCCGGTAGTTGGCTCAGGAAGGCCATCGTCATATGCAAAGATTCTGGAAAGTTATAGTTTGGTATTCTAGATTCTAAGATTTCAAGATTTTGAAATTCTGAGATTCTTAGATTCTCCGGCGGCTCTGAGACCCACAATTTCACAGATTCTGAACAACATCAGAACTTCGTAAAACATTATTGGAAGGGTCAGCCGTTCTATTTCTCCTAGGTACCTTCCTTCTACCAAAAGGGCCCTTCTATTAAAGTGATCTTTCTAATAGAGGTTTCGCGATATTCTAACTTACGAATAAATTGGCAAGTTTTCCGGAATCGACACTGCTGTAAACGCATATCCCACTGTCCTCACAAATTTGTACCGTAATCTACCGTAATCCCTCAATTGGCAAGCACCAAACTGGTTTGGATATTTCCCATTCGTATAGGCAAACACTGGAAAATCCTTCTATATAATCCCTTAGAATCTAAAACTAACTATCCACGTCTTCTGAATAATACTCATCATATCGGACAAGTCCTTCGTGTTCTTCCGGGGAAATATATCCAGCTTTTCCAACTACAGTATCTGTGGGAGATGGGGAAATTTCAAATTTTAAACGACCTTTTGAATCGATTGAAAATTGGAAGGACGTTGAAGGGTAGGTTTTGGCAGGAATCGGAGCCACAATTGAGGTCTTTTAGGAACATTTCTTGAGTTGGTCCACGAACTGCGTTGAATTGGGTTAGATCTGGAAGAAAAATTAGGCTTTGTTTTTTCTCAAAAAACTTCTAATGGACCATAAAAAGATATGATATTTTGACTATTTCAGGTGGAGAGAGTCAACTTCGCAGTCCTACAAAAGTATTTCAGAATTTTTCGATTTGTTTAAAATTTTCAGAAAATACTAAACAAAAATAGAACTTTAGTTTTGTAATTGACAACTTTTTTGCACCTATTTTGGTTCTTGATATATGAGCCTTTAAAGACTGGATGTCTGCGTCTTGCTTCTCTTAGTGATCTAGCATCCCGTCTTTAAAGGCGCATATCTCAAAAATCAAAATAGATGCAAAAAAGTTGTCAATTCCAAAAATAAAGATCTTAATTTGTTTATTTTTTTTTCAAAAATTTCAGAAAAATTAAAAAATTCTGAACTACTTTTGTAGGGGTTCAAAATGGACTATTTTACACTGAAAAAGTCAAAATACCGATATTTCTCTAATGGAATCTTACAGAAACCGTCGACTTTAAACTCGGTTTCTGTAATAGATATAAACAATTTGTATTTATTATTAAGTATTGCTTAACAGCAAGCTGGTGCGCCTTCGGCGCGATTCAATCTACTTTTTTACTGGTTCACCACTTCACTCTTCACTTGTTCTAGAAGGGTCACGTAATTTTATATTTGTTTTTCAAGTTTTTCAAAAGTCGACAGACTTTCATCAGGACATACGCGTGTAGCGTTATATATATAAGGAAGATAATACCACCAATATTTTTTCAGTTGACATAATTTTGATATCTTTCACAGGAACCAAGATAATTAAGCTCAATGTTGACCTTTGTTTCGTACAACAGTTTCCTAAACTCACTCAATTTTTCTGCATTCTGAGTGACACTTGCAAACTGTGGAAACTTGGTAAAATAAATGGATTTCATTGGAACCGCGCCAGTGTCCGTGAACCGAAATATGGGTTCTAGAACCAATTTTTGGTATTGGAATACAGCATTCTGAATGATTTATTTCAGTCTGGTTTGGATTTCGACCTCGAGAAATTTCAGATTCTTACCACAGTTGATAAAAATAAGAGGCATTCTAAAAACAGTAAATTATATAAAGACTTCATTCGAACCATTTTTTTTTTTGGAAGAACAAAGTATTGAGGACTCAACGAATTGATGACAGAATTGAAAAGGATTCAAAACTGGGGAGGATAGAGGTGGAAATTAGTTATGCACATAAAATCAAAAATTGATAATTTATTGGTGATTAGAGATCACAGGAATCGGAGAGATTGGAAGTTTTTGTGGTATGATTGAAAATTTCAAAAATTGGAGGTGACAAGGAGTTTTGGGAGACCCCTTATGAATTAGACGTCTTGGAGAATTCTGACAAAATAGGGGTCAGAAAGGAAAAAAATTGAACCTAAAATTTTTTGGGTTACCGGATTTTCAAAATTTCAAGGTTTCAGAATTCCAAATTTTTTGAATTCAGACCTTCTAAACTTTCGATTTCCAGATGTTTTTTGACAATTCCAGATTATTATATTTTCAGAATTAGAGAATGTTAGGATCTCTGAACGTCTGAATTTCTGAATTTCAGTACTTCAGGATTTCTGAATTCCAGATTATTAGATTTTCATAATCTCATAATATCAGATTTTCAAAAATTTTATATTTCCAGAATACACGGAATTCAGATTTACTGAACTTCCGAATTTCAAAACTTTTGAATCTCACAACTTCAGAACTTCTGAATTTCTAAATCTCAGAATCTCAGAATCTCAGAATCTGGGAATCACAGAATCTCAGAATCTCAAAGCAACATAATCTCAGAATCTCAGAAGCTCAAAAAATCAGAATCTCAGAATCTCAGAATCTCAGAATTTCAGAATCTCAGAATCTCAGAATCTCAGAATCTCAGAGTCTCAGAATCTCAGAACGTTTCTGAATTTCTGAATTTCAGATTTTTAAACGATTTTGCACACTAAATTTCCAATTCCCTCCAAACTGACCCAATTGGTCCAACTAATCTCGCCAAAATCCTCTTAACTCTCAATTCCACGTGGCAACTTCTTCAAACATGCCCCTCTCCGATTCCATGGAGGTAATCCGAAACGACCACCGGAGAAAAAGAGAGGAGTCAGAAACTTTTCTCCCTGTGCTCACTTGCTCACTTTCATATCTATTGTTGTTCCTTCCGCGCGGAGACGAATCTAAGCCCGCCCACTTTCTTCTCCGTCACTTCGCCCCCAAAAGATTGTTTCCGAATAGAGGAGAGGACCGTTTGACAGCCCGTAGAGAGAAGAAGAAAGTAATGAGTTTCGTGTGTTTACTCATTTACCAATCAGTCACCCCCTCCCTCGATATCCAATCTCCTAAATCGGTTAGATTCCATTTTTCGTATACTGATTTTTTTTCTTTTTTTTTGTTTGGATTTGCTTGTTTTCTCTTGTCACTTCCCTATTTGATCAGTCGTTTCGTTTTGCTCCCCGATGTCCATGGATCAAAATCCAAACTTTTCAACAAAAAAAAATTGAAATGTTTTAACAGAAAGTCGGTGGAAGCAGCCAAGGAGCCGAGAAACGATGCGATGCTTCTTCCTGTTCATTTTACTATTTTGTCTGTTTCGAAACGGTTTGTTTTTTAACTATTTAAAAATGTTTCATGGGTTACTGTAGAGTTAAAGGATACATTTGAAATCTTTACTAATGTGATTTTAAGCTCAATTATCTCGGTTCTTTTGTCAGATATCAAAAAGTGGTCAACTGATAAAATATTTTTAATATTGTGATAAACATTTTATCAGTAAACAAATGTTAAATAACTCTCACAGGAACCAAGATAATTGAGCTCATATAACACCTATGTTGTAGGCTTTTGTCTGAGAAAATACGGTAAATAGAAATCTGATAACCTTGAGAATCCTGTATTTGCAGTATGTAAAGACTTTATTAAATAAAATATCCATATCCCATATTTCAAACATTATGAAACTTTCAGTTCTAGAAACTCTCATTTGTTAACTTCTTGATCTTCAGTCTTTACAATGTGCATACCATAAAACCTGTAATAGAAGAGCTCTCCTAATTGTGAGCTCATCTATCTTGGTTCCTGTGAGGGATATTAAAAATAAGTCTACTGATGAACTGTTTATCATAATATCACCAATATTTTATTAGTTGACAAATTTTTCATATCTCTTACAGAAATTGAGATAATTGAGCTCAATATAAACAACCTGATTTTCTTGTAGAGCAATTACGGTATTTCAAAAACTTGAAATTCGGAGACTTATGTTTCGAATGTCATCAAAGTTTTTAATTTTGATGGACTTTTCAAAATGTTGACGTCTTGAAGGATCTTGGGATTCTGAGGAACTTTATGACAGCCACATTCTGAATGGAGATATGAGTTTCTGACTTTGAAATTCATTCCGTAATTCTTCTAATACAGGCTCCTCTAACTTTGACCTAATATATCCTATGTCCTGTAAGAGATATTAAAAATTGGCAACTGATAAAATATTGATGATGTCATGGTAACCATTTTATCAATTGACATATTTTTGACATCTTTCACAGGAATCGAGATAATTGAGCTCAAACTTGATGTCTTGGGTGGGCTCCAAATTCAGAATACTCCGATTCCTGCAACGATTTTTCGACTTTTGAAAACCTAGTTTTCACTTTTCCCAATTTATTTTTAAGTTCTTAAAATCACAAATTTTCATGATTATCCAAGATTTCCGAAATTCAAAAAAAAGCGTTCTTCCTCTTCCTCCATCATCCACTTTTTCAATCCTAGACGTCACTTAATGTTTTTTCTACAATTTCAAAAGAAAAGTGCACATTGTTGTGAGCATCATCCGGATGGCATTTCCTATTCATTATTTATATCCGAAAAAACATAAAAACATTCGGAAGAAAGAGATCCTCTTCTGCGCATGTCCATCTTCTGAAGTATCAGATTTCAATTTCCCGCCGATGAGCCGCCGTTCATTTTTCTATTAATTTTCTTTTTCTCTGCGTCTCTGAATCTGAATCTCTGAAGCAACAAAAAACTTGGAAACTTTGAAAACTCGCACCTCACACTCGTTTTTGTCTATCTCATTATAATCGGATCATTAGAAAAAGAAGAAGAAAAAGAAGGAGAAGAGGGCGATGCGTGAGAAAAATGGAATTGTTTATTCGAGTGATTAGTTGATGAGAGTTAATGAGAATGAGATGGGGATTTAATTGGAAGAGTTGAGCAATAGTTTTTTTGGACATCAGGACAAGGAGAAATACAGACAGATAATTAAAGATTTTAGGCTTTTTGTTCTTCTGTTACGGAATAAAAACTACCGCATTTGCTATAATAGAAGCCCCCACTATAAGGGCCCTTTGAGTTCGATTATCTCGATTCCTTTGACAGCTATCAAAAAATGGCCAACTGATTAAATGTTGATCATAATATCAGTAACATTTTATCAGTTGACTACTTTTTGATATCTCTTACAGAAACCTAGATAATTGAGCTCAAACTTTAAGCCTCAAAATTGATGTCGAGCCTAGTACATATTAGAGTGTTTCCGGTATTTTTTCCTACCTTCAACATTTATGTCATCATTTAACCCAATTTCTTTGAAACCTCATAAAATACCCTAGCCATGTTATATCAGTACTACTGTAATAGGACAGCTTTGTGTGAAATGGTAACCAATTGGTGCAAATATTATCTTTTGGCAGGTAGAAGAAGAAGAAGAAGGAGAGAAATCTCTCTTTTGCGAAGACACTATATCAAGTGTTGTTGGGTGACAGTATTTGAATGTCAACAAGGGTGCAACTACTGGCGACTACTTCTTATCTCTCTTTTATCAGTTATCTTACTAATGAACGCTTTTCAATGGGGTTATGTCTGTGTGTCGGTTTGAACTGAATAGTCAGAGAGCGTTGCTCTCTTTCAAAGAGAGAAAGGTTATCATACATGAGAGTTATAAGACGGTTGATATTTGAAGAATTTTTTTCGCATGTATAGAAACATCTCGAATTGATGATTTCATGTACCATGTAGCATTTATTTCAGTTTCACCAGATGTCTGAATTTTCTGTACAAAAATTATGAATATTCCAGAAATTAGTCAAAGTTATAGAAAATGTTTATTTGATGGATCTGAAAATGATCATGAACAAAAAAATAGGTGGACAAATTAAAATTGGACAGTGTGGACAGTTGGGATAGTGGTAGTAGTTTGCTCAAATCCGGGTGGCAACCAATCTTCCTGCATTTTGAGCTTCTTGATGCTCTGTGCCTTCTTTTCTTCTACAGGTACAGAATCGGGTTGTCTCCCGATTTTGTACTTTTTGCCGACTTGTCAACTTTGAGCCTTCTACCTTGTTTTCTGTAAAAGATATCAAAACTCAGTCAACTGATAAAACATTGGTGATGTTATGATGATACGGTATTTACGTTTTTCCAAGATTTACTGAATTAAACATTTTTGGTCAGAGAAAAAAGCTAAAATCTGAAAACCACATCCAAAAACCCCGATTTCCAGCCATCACCGACGTAATCTTCACATCAGAACGGTGTAATCGAGTAACATATGGATTGAGAACAGTCAATGGAGATCCAACAAGATACAAACAATGCGGACCTTCTGGAAGAGTTTGGATCGTTCCGTGCGCACCACAAATGACGTTTGATCCAGAGGATAGGGTGGGTTTTTAATCGTATTTCCCTATAATCAATTTTGAACTCAATTATCTCGGTTCCTGTCAAAGCTATAGAAAATTTGTCATCTGATAAAATATTGACAAATTTTAATATCTTTCACAGGAACCGAGATAATTGAGCTTACAGTTGACGGTTTGGGTGGACGTCTATAAGAAGGATAACGGTAGTTTGAAATGGAATAAATCCCTAATAAAGTTTTTGACTGAATTCATTTTCAGCTCGTATCACAATTCTAAGTTTTCTAGCCCAATTTTTTTATCCAAATTATCAAATTTTCTTTTTTCTTCCAGGTCTGCAAGGAACGTCTCGACTCCCGAACCGCCCATAAACCCATGAGAAAATATGAAACTCCTCCTAAAACAATCATCACAACTCCTGCTCCAATCCCATCCAGCTATCCAGTCTCTGCAGAAGTCACCCCAGCTTCTGCCCCCGTCGCTGCTCCAGAAGAATTCGTTTTCTCTACGATCCGCCCTAAAAGTCGGAAACCAAAAGCAAGAACGCGTGGCAAACTGAGGAAGACAACTACAGTAATGTCTACAACTCCATCGACGACTCCAATGTCAATGGAAATTCAAAAATCTTCTGGAGAAGATGAGATGACGACGACACCGAGGATAGTGATATTTGCGAGTAAAAAGAATAGTTTGGGAGGAAATAAAAGTGAGGAAATGAGAAATCAAAATCAAAGTGTACAAAGAGGAAGAGGTGTTTCTGCTGCATTTACAAGACCTGGAAGAATCCGAACTACTACTCCGATGCCTGTTACTCATGCTACAAGATTTGTTCCAGGGATTCAGAAGATTACTGTAGCTCCGAAGGAGAACCAAGGAATGCCACATACGCTGGCGCCGTATGAGAAAACTGAGAGAAGAGGAGAAAGTTTTGAAACTGGAGAATCTATGACGACTATGACTCCAGAATATACTGTTAGGTGAGAATTTACTTGAAAATTCTAAAACTTCTGAAAACTCTAAAATTCTAGGTACAATGGCCAAACAATGACTGAAAATGAGTTTTTAAATCAACTGCTACACATCGTCCAACACCAAAAATCAGTGTCAGAACGGCAACAACAGGACAAGTTCGAGAGAATGGAGCAGGAGAGGATCAGACAGGAGAAAGAAGAAAAATTACGTGAAATGGAGAGACGGAGACAGCTAGCAGAAGCTGAAAAGGCACGGCAGGCAGAGATAGATAGAGTGAGTTGGGGCGTATTTGCAACAGGCGGGAATTTGAATTATTTTCAGCAAGCGGCAATATACGCGGAGCAAGAACGAATGGCAATGGAAAGAGAGCGAGAGCTGGAAAGGATTCAGCAGGAAGAGAGAAAACGAGAAATGGAAAGAATTAGACAGGAAGAGATAGCGATGGAGATTTCGAGAATGAGAGAGCTGGAACGGCTTCAGATGGAGAGACAGCAGAAGAATGAGAGAGTTAGACAAGAGCTAGAAGCAGCTAGAAAACAGAAGATTCTGGAAGAAGAACGACAAAGGAAGATTAAGGAGCAGATGAGAGAAATGGAAAAGATCCGGAAGGAACAGGAAGAAGCTAGGGAAATCGAGATGAGAAGGTTAGAGGAAGAGAGAGCACGTGAGATGGAGAGAGTTAGAGAAGAAGAGATGGAGAGACAACAACAAATTGAGAGACTTAGACAGCAGGAAGAAGAACGGAAACGGAAAAAGTTGGAAATGGAAAAGGAAGAGAGGAAGAAGGCGTTGATAGAGGAAGAACGGAAGAGGAAGGTGCTGGAGAAGGAGTTGGAGGAAAGAAGACAAGCAATTCTAGAAGAGGAAAGGAAGCGGAAGATTCTGGAAAAGGAGATGGAAGAGAGGCAGACTGCAATTTATGAGGAGCAGCAGAGACGGAAAGCGGAAGAAGAGCGAAGGAAACAGAAGGAAATGGAAGAAAGAAAACAGATTCAGGAGCAGATGAGAAAGGTGTCGGAGGAAAGGTCGAGATTAGAAGCGATGGAGAGGGAGAGAGAACTGATGAGGCAGATTATTGAAAATGAGAATAAGCAGCAGGAATTTGAAGGTAAGAATGTCGCATTGAGAGACGCAGACTGCTAGAACTTCTGGTTTCTCTAACTCTCTAGCTTTTAGAAAAGCCTCTGTTTCGATAGAAATCATTTCTGCTAGAGGCGACAGGAGATATTTTGGAGCCCTTCTTTTGCTAAACTCGAATGTTTATGAATTTTTGAAAACTAACATAAATGAACCAAGTTACGATCATTTTTTGAAAACGCCAGGATCAGAGAACCAGACACACTCGAACTCGAAAACTTAAATTTAGATAAACATAGTCATGTTTATACTCATTTTAAAGCTCAAAGTTTAATAAGCTCAAAAAACAAATTTTCATTTTATTTGGAACATTTGCCAGCAAAGTTATAGTCATTTTTCTGAAATTGGAGATTTTCTGAAATTATTTTAGCTTGCCTCCTTTCAGCATTTTCAGACTTATCGGGACCAGCTTTGACCTATAAAATCACCTGATATTTTATATTTTCCATTCACTATCTTTCCAGCCACCACCCAAATCACAACCATCAAACCAATCTACCGACCGAACATTTCTGAATACCAACCACCGGATGTTGAATCCCACATGATCCGTTTTACAACTCAATCTCCAGAATGGGCGACGCCATCGCCTGCCACGTGGAACCCATCATGGAATACTGTAACGGCGGAAGAGGAAACTCCAGAAGTTTCTTTAGTGATGCGTAGTCAATGCCAGATTAATGGCGAATGCGAGCTGAAATATGATGCGGACTCGTTTTGTGCGCATCCGGGGTGAGTTTTTAAAGATACACGCCTGGCTGGGGCCCCTACGGCGCGTCAATCCACAAACGAAAAAATAATTAAAATACGAAAATCATGACAAGTTTCTAAAAATTAATCAAGGTTACTGTAGTTTTCTTGGCGAGACCCTATATTTTTCAGCACACCATCCATGTATCTTCAATGTGCTCCATTGTATGGAAGACTTGGAAGATGGACCGAAAGACATTGTCCTGATACTTTAATATTTATTGTTTCGATTGGAAGATGTGAAAAAGGAGAAGAATCTCGGAAACCGTATGATCCAGATAATCGGGTAGTGATTCCAAGATTACCCTCGGAGACGTCGTTTGTGGAATGGAAGGGGAATAGGTGAGCATTTTCAAATTCCTAAAGGTTACTGTATCTGCCTAATAGTTCTAGATTTTTGTTGTTCTTTGAAATGTAGAATTTGAAATATTTTCGATTTTCCTGAATTCGCTTCTCGGAATTTTCATCACTTTCTGAATTTCAAGTATTTCAAATTTTCGAATTTTGGGATTTTGAATTCTTGGAATTTCAATTTATTAATATTTTTTAGAATTTTGAGATTCATAGACTTCAAAAACTTCCAGACGTATTTTCCCGTAGTCAGAAAGTAATTTTTTGACAATCTAGAAACATATCAGGTTCCTAGAATTCTGTGATTCTTGAAATTTCGGACTTTCGGAAGCTTGTAAAATTCAGTTTCATTTGGAATTTCGGACTTCAAAGTTCCTCAAATTCTCGAAAAGATTCTAAAACTTTCCCCTGATGATTCTAATTTTTCAGAGTAATCGACCATCACATTCCGTCTCCAATATCTCCTCCACGTGTCTATCCGCCCGTTCCCGAACCTCATCAACCTCAAATCTACAATACCATCGACGAGTTCCCGAAAGATTTGTTGCCAAAGCTTCCAGAAGTTTCTCCAGCAGACACTTATGCACAGCAGTATCAAAATGTGAGTTTCCAGATATTCAACAAGAAAAACCAATGGAGCGTAAATGCTCAATTATCTTAATTCCTATTAAAGATATCAAAAATGTGTCAACTGATAAAATGTTTATCATAATATCACCAATAATTTTTCAGTTGAAAAACTTTTGATATCTTTTATAAGGACTGAGATAATTGGACTCAAATTTAAAGTCCCGCCATTTTGCAGCACATCCATGGAAGTGTGATAAGTGGTGGTTATCCACGTCCAGCGGCTCCAAATCCTACTGTATCTCCGGTTCCAATAATTCCAAGTTCTTATCAAATCACAAGAGTTCCAAATGTTCAGGTTATGAATCAGGTGCCTTCCAATGTGAGTTGCTTTTATCGTATCTAATAGAAGCCCACTCAACTTTGAGCTCAATTATCTCGGTTGCCAAGAAAGATATCAAAAAGTGGTCCACTGATGAAACATTGTTGATATAACAATAAACAGTTTATCAGATGACCACTTTTTGATGTCGCATTTGTCGGCTGAGCCACGCGGTCCGCTGCCGTCCTCTTAACTTTGAGCTGTGACAGATATCAAAATTATGTCAACTGATAAAATATTGGCTATATTATGATAAAAAATTTTATTAGTTGACTACTCTTTGATATCTCTTATAGCAATCGTGATAATTGGGTCCAAATTTCCCGGTTCAGGTAGGCTTCTATTAAAGAAAATACGGCCTCTTTTAGAAATTCAGATGAATCCCAAGAACTATAATTTCAATTTCATTGCAGAGCATAAAATCTGAAATCGACTTGTCGCACATTCACCCACTGTTTCCACGTGTACAGCCGGATTTCTTGAGTCGAATTTTGCCTTCATTGAATCTGAAAATGCACGATGAGCACAGAGAAACACAGTCGTTGGGAAGTGTTGTGAAGCCGGTTTTGAAAAAGGTACTGTAGGAGGAATACTGTAGCGATATTGAAAAAGTAATTTCCGATTATTGAGAAACCTTTAACTTTTCAAACTTTAGAACCTCAGAATTTTAGAATTTCTGATTTTCTGATAATTCGAAAAATTCTAAATTCTAAAATTCTAAAATTTTTTTTTCAGATCGCTCTAAACCAAACCGAACAATTTCTGGATCGTCTTTTGGCTGACCAAGTTCAAGATGAAAAAGTCAGAAAGGAAATTATCGATCGGCTGAAATCTTCAAACATCGATGAATTGAAAAAATTAGTGGCTTAATTATTTTCATTTATTTATTTCATGCTGAGCAATCTCAGAATTCATAGGCACGTCTATTTTCTGTTTGTCTTCTCCAATCCCCCTCTCTCCCGTCATTCTTTGACCAACTCCGCAAACATCGCGACGCACAATTGCGGACGATGACTATTTTCTCCCCAAACTGCCTCTTTTTGAATTTAGCTCTGTTTTTTTCGATACTTCTGCTCCAAAATTTGTCTTTCTCTGTGTTTTTTCATTTTTCCAGAACTTGTGATATTACAATGATCTCCAGTTATTTATTGTGTTAATTATTAGTCAATTTTTGAAAAAATAAAGGACCAAATTTTCAAAAAAAATGTTTTATAGTTAGAAGAAGAAAATGAGTGAAAAATCCAGTAAAAGTTATTTTTACGTATCAAATTTAAATTCGTGAAAAACGTGAACTTTGAAAATAATTTTTTATCCACGTAGGTAGGTCATTTTTGTCAATTTTTTCCCCAGAAATAAATTTATTCCCGTTTTCTTTGCAAATTTCGAAATTTACTTTTTTTCAATCATATTTTCATGTATGTCTCTCTAGTTTTTATATCAAAACTTCTTCTTTTTCTTCTAGAAATTTCATCCATTTTTGCAGAGATGTCCGTCGCAGCTCTCCGAGAAATCGGAATCACGGCCACGGCTCCAGAAACGCCACCACCGGTCGCCGTCCCTCCACCACTTCCAACGTCTTCTGTGGATGTTTCTTCTGATGATTACATAAAACTGACCTCCCTGGAGACCCAATTGGCACATCTTCAGGTTATGGAGGATTATATCAAGTTGGAAACAAGAAATCTCGAGAAAGAGTTGCTCCATGCACAGGAAGAAGTGAAACGTATTCAATCGGTTCCACTGGTTATCGGACAATTTTTGGAAGCCGTTGATCAGAATCATGCCATCGTTGGTAGCACCACGGGATCCAATTATTATGTCCGCGTTCTTTCGATTTTGGATCGAGAACTTTTGAAGCCCGGATGCTCGGTGGCTCTTCATAAATATTCGAATGCGCTTGTCGACGTTCTTCCTCCAGAAGCAGACAGCTCGATCCAAATGCTTCGTCCAGATGAGAAACCAGACGTTTCTTATGGAGATATCGGAGGTTTGGATATGCAAAAGCAGGAGGTTCGTGAGGCTGTTGAGCTTCCACTCACCCATGGAGAACTCTATCAACAAATTGGAATTGATCCTCCAAGAGGAGTTTTGATGTACGGACCACCGGGATGTGGAAAGACAATGTTGGCGAAGGCGGTTGCTGCGAATACGGCTGCGTCTTTTATTCGTGTCGTTGGATCGGAATTTGTGCAGAAGTATTTGGGAGAAGGTTCGTTTTAGTTTTTTTTAAATTTAATCTTTGATCACTAGACCCAAAAATTTTGACCAAAACAAAAAGTCTTGGTTTTCAAATTTTAGAATTTAGAGTTTCTTAATGTTTCAAAACGTTATCATTTTCTGGCTTTTAAAACATTTCATCATTTTTTCTCTATTTCCAGGGCCCCGTATGGTTCGTGATGTTTTCCGTCTGGCTAAGGAGAACAGTCCATCGATTATCTTCATCGACGAAATCGATGCGATCGCCACAAAACGTTTCGATGCTCAAACTGGAGCTGATCGTGAGGTGAGCTAATTTTTAGATTTCAGAAAAATTCCCAAATTTCAAATATACGGAAATCTCAGATTTCTGATTTTCTATATTTCAACATTTCCGAAAAACTGAATTTTGATTTCTCAGAATTCCAAAATCCCGGATTTCCGATTTTCTGTTTTTCAATTTCCGGAATATCTCCTAATTTTATTAGAAGCTTTTCCCCTAACTTTCAAAATCCTAATTGTTTTTCCAGGTCCAACGTATCCTTCTCGAGTTGCTCAACCAAATGGACGGATTCGATCAAAGCACGAATGTCAAAGTGATCATGGCCACAAATCGTCAAGATACCCTTGATCCCGCCCTTCTCCGACCCGGACGTCTCGATCGTAAAATCGAATTCCCACTTCCGGATCGTCGTCAGAAGCGTCTCGTCTTCACTACCATCTGCTCTCGTATGAATCTGTCTGATGACGTGGATTTGGAAGATTGGGTTGCTCGTCCGGACAAGATTTCCGGTGCTGACATCAACTCGATTTGTCAGGAAGCCGGTATGCAGGCAGTACGTGAGAATCGCTATGTGGTTCTGACCAAGGATCTGGAGAAGGCCTACAAAAATGTCGTCAAGAAGGACACCAACGATTTTGAGTTCTACAAGTAAATGTTCCGCTTTTTTGAAGTCTTTTCTGTCTGTGAACCCATTCGATTCTATAATTTATTGTATTTACACTGTGGCCCTACATGAAGATATTAATCCATTTTATTAGTTAAAAAACCTTAAATACTTTATTTAATCAAACACGACAGATCTCATTATATAGGTCACATTATAAAACCAAGTTTCTCTCAAAGTTGATATCACATTGCAATTGTGCTGGCTCCACTAGTTGACGTCATACTTCCCCTGGTCCCACCCGATGTGGTTCCTTTAGTAGTCATTCCACTGTTAGTTCCGGTAGTTCCAGTTGTTCCGGCTGTTGTACCTCCGCCTCCAGTGGTTCCACCTACAGTAATCGCTCCAGTTGTCGTGTTCCCGAAGCCAACTCCAGTGATTCCTCCAGTTGTTCCAGAAGCATCGCAGCCATAACGTTTGTACATTCCACGGTACCTGAGATAGGGGAAATAAGTATATATGGTACCAAACAGTGTGTTTTGGAATGGTGGCCTAGAAATCGCAACTTGCGAAAGTTAGGCCGTGGCCTAGTATTTGCTTGACATTCACCTGGTGTTTTCTAGGTCATTTACCATGATGGCTTAGAAAAAGCAATTAGGAAAAGCTAGGTCACCATGTCTAAGCGGCCTAGGAAAACCGTTAGGTGAATATGATCATTTCCAGATCATGAAAGTTAATGGCCTAGAACAGTGAATTTGAAAAAGTTAGGCCACCATGGTAAATGACCTGGTAATGGTCTGAATGGTCTAAAAACACACTAGCTAAACATCAGATTATTTCTAGACCAGAAATGTTGGTGGCCTAGAAAACTCAATTTTCCAAAGTTAGGCCATCATGTCACAAAACCAAAAAAAACGCACCAGAATCCATAGACACTTCTTCTGAGGAAATAAAAGACCAATGAAATCAGGCCAACTCCTCCAAGGGAACCAGCAATGAATCCAATGTAGATACCCCACGCCCACCATTTACCAGGCAGATAAATGG